ACTCAGTACAAAAATGAAACTCTGGTCCCTCAATATATTGTTTTCCTTGTATGATATGTCAGATTTATGAACTACCCATACTTTTTCTTCTAATGATTGACATGTTTAGGGAAAAGTTTAAAAGTCAAAAAAATTAACCAATACTAGTTTAATTTTTAAGAATTGGAACCACAAATTATTTCATTAGAATGATCCTTTAAATAAAAAGCTATGGAAAGAATGGAAGGATTATGAGCTAAGCTATATTTTGCAGAATGAAGCTCTATTTTAATAGATAATTTTACTTTTTTTAAATATCTTTCTTGGACTATAATTGCTTTACCATGTTGTGTTAGTTTCTGCTGTACAACAAACAAAATGAATTAGCTATACGTATCCATACATCCCCATATCCCCAGTAGCTAATTGTAAAAGGCAGAAACACTGCATATCCATCTCAGCAGCCCATCTAGTGGTCTCTTGCCTGGCAGCCCTAAAAGGATACAAAGTCGTGGACCACCCTCCATAGAATTATGTATCCACCTAATGCCAGCATTTCTGCAATCCAACCGATAAAAATACATGTGTATGTGAATTGGGTTGTTGTAATACAACACCAGGGTTTTTCCTATTTAAAGTGCGACATTAGGCTGACGTAGAAGTGAGTGATTTTCCTGGGTCCCTAAGATGTGATTAAGGAAGAGAACAAATCCATCTCCAGAAAGGTCACAGGCAGGAAAAAACTAGACAGACTGTAAACACCAAAGTGACCATTTCCATCATTTTTAAAATGGAGAGAAAGAACAGTAACAGTAAGGTAGTAAGAAGATGCCATTAGCTTTATCAGCATCTTCATGGTCATTACCAATTAGTCTGACAAAATAGTTCTCCAGTGATTAGTGTTAATTTTTGGCAGCCCTGCCTGATAATTTCCTATGGTGTGAAATGTCTAGCATTTTCTTTTTGTTCAATATAGTTTACCTTTATGATAATTCCTAAAATTATTTAGATGAAATCTATAATATTCAGAGAACTATTTTGGGTATTTGAACAGCTGTTTTAAATGGAGAAAAAAGCACACTCGTCTATCTGATTTACCCAGAAAAACCGACTTTCTGGTTTCATTTTCATATCCTTTATTAGCATAATGATTGTAATCACTTATCTTTCTCTTATGTTAGTAAATATATTGTTTGTAGAAAGTTCTAAAATGTCAGTGAAAATCTTTTTAAGGAAGTAGAGGAATTGAATACACCCTTGAATAATCATCGAATATTGAAAATGAGAGATAAGTCCTTAAAACCCATAACTCAGGTTTTACAACCTGCAGTTAATTCAGTGCTGCATTGGCACTTAAAAAAAAAATACAGTAACTTACACTTAAAAGAGAGAAAAATCTGCATTAACATTGCATATCCTAATGTGTACCACATTTTAACACAAAAACAGGCATTGTATTTATACTTAATAGAGTCAGACACAACTTTCACAAATTATACTGTATTCACAATAGAAAAAAGCAACCTTGTCTATCACATAGTAGTATCTCCACATTTAAACAGTGAAAGCTCTTCAAAAATGTCATATTATTTCTTTAATTCATCCCAGCAGCACATTTCACACAGAGTGAGAAATCGGTCTCAGAATAGGTGAGATGGAATCAAGCTAGTACAAGATACATCAATTTATGTCATTTCATCGGTATGGTAGCTTAAACATTCCTAGATCCAATCATATTATTAAGCCTAATCTTACTTGTGAAAGTATATACTTTGAGACAATAGTTAATTTCTTCACATTGTTAGAGAATGTTATGAGCACTAAGGAACCACTAAGATGCAATTTATTTACAAAGTTTTCCCTTGGCCACTTGAACTGGCTGATCTTCCACTATTGGGCATTTGAATGCATGTCACATTGTTTTACTTGCCAAAGCAGAATGAAATTTTGGAGCTGAAATATGTCCTAGACGGGAATGCAACAGCAAAAGTAATCATCAAATTAATAGGACCATCTTTCTGAGAGAAAGCACATCTCCAAGTAGTTGACACGCAAGTTTTAAAGAGCAGCATGAGGCGTTATTATAATTTGGCAGTGATTAAAGTGTGGTAGGACAAGGGTAGAATACTCCCAACCCATTCTCATTTTCACTTTCCACTTACTTTTTGTAATCATTAAGCTTAAGCTCTTTATGGAAATGCAAACCACCATTAACATTTCTAGAAAACAACTGAAAAAATAGCCCACTTATGCTTCTTCAAAGACAGGTTTATCCCAAATTAAGAAATCCTATTGTACACGCTGTAAGATTTCTGGCAAAAAGAGAGAATCCTATAGCAGCTATTCCCACCGAAAGCCAACCCTTTAGGCAAGGGTCATTTTTAGCTAGGCTAGGATTTACTGCACAGAAAAATGTCATTTAGCTTGTCACATTGCTAGCACAGCTGCGCATATGAGCAAAGCACTCCATCAGTTTCTCTCAGTGGGGTACTGTTGGCATTTGGAGCTGGGCAATTCTTTTTGTACAGAAATGTCCCACACATTGCACCATGTTTACTGCCTAAATGCCAGTTGTATGCCCAGCCGTTGTAAATACGAAAAGTAAAAAGCGCTCCCCCATGTTCAGATGCCCTTCTGGGAGGGCAGTACCTCCTCCCTTAAATGCCACTGTCTACTGCAATTTGAGGACACAGGAAAAAGTGTCTATCTCAAAACATCATCTTGACTCCCTTGCACATCTTTGGGCCCTGAGTAGTTTCCTCCCCCATCATCTTTCTAGCCTTTTGTTTCCAGCCTTCTGATGCAGCTTTAGTTTACCAGTTCTTCAGGGAGGAGGTTATTGGGTAGCCTAGGCAGTTCCGACAGGCATAGTCGCTTGATTAGTCCCTGTATGTACTTAAAGGGGAGATTTCACATGAAGCACACTTTTTTTTTTTTTTTTTTTGCCTCACAATTTTACCTCAGAAC